GCGTTAGCTCTCCATCACTATAACAAAATACTTCAGACAATAAACTTATGAAAGAAAAAGTTTACATTAGCTCTAGCTCACACTTTTAGAGGTTTCCTCCAGTCCATGATTGATTGGTCCCATTACCTTGGGCTTCTGACAAGGCAATACATCATGACAAGAGGATCTAGCACAGCACAAACACACACCTCATGGCCAGGGAGCAAGAGAGAGAAGTCAGGGACTAAGGTTCTACTATACTCTTTTTTTTTTTTTTTTTTTTTTTTTCGGAACTGGGGATTGAACTCAGGCACTTGCGCTTGCCAGGGAAGCGCTTATTCCACTGAACCATCTCCCTAGCTCTACTACACTCTTTTTTTAAAATTTATTTTTATTTATTACATTTATTTATTGTGTGTGTGTGTGGCCAGCTCAGCCCACCAGGGGGCGGGGCTGGTTGGCATGTGGTGCTGGGGATCGAACCGTGGTCCCTGTGCTTTGCCAAGTTTGTTTCAAGTAGGTGCTTTAGACCACTGAGCCATCTCTCCAGCCCTCTACTATACTCTTGAGGCTATGCCCCCAAGGACCCAAAGCGCTCCCGCTAGGTCTCACTTCTTAAAAGTCCCACCCTCTCCCAATGCACCAAGCTCAGGCCAAGCCTTAACTCTACAGACCTGCGGTGGGCAATCTGGGTCTAAACCATCACAGCTACTGATAGCTCTCTGAAGATAGAGCTGCAAAGGATTTAAAATAGTTAAAGTCTACAGCTATACCACCCTGAATGCTCATGATCTCATCTAAAATAGTTAAACATAAAATAAGGTGCAAGTCAATCCCTGGCGTGCCACACTGAGACAGGACTGAGACTGTGTGTGGTGGCGCGAGCCTGTAATCCCAGTGCTTGGGAGGCTGAAAACAGGAATATCACTCCAAGTCCGATCTGGGTAGTGAGACCCTGTAAATCATGTACTAAATACATTTTTTTAAAATAATAGGGTGCAACCTACAAGCCGGCGCAAGGGTGCGCTGAGATGACAATTGAGACTGGGTGTGGTGTCAAGTGCCTGTAATCCCAGCTCTTGGGAAGCTGTAAACAGGCAGATCACTATGAGTTCGATCTAGTAGTGAGACCCTGAACACCCTGTAGACCCTTACCTAAAAATACAAAAGTAAATAAATAAATAAAAATTTTAAAAAGAGTGAAAAAAAATAGGGTGCAAGCTCAATGGATCCATATTTATAATAGGAAAATACATAAGGGGACTGGGGATATAGCTCAGTGGTATAGCAAGGTAGAACAAGCATAAGGTCCCAAGTTCAATTCCCAACACAGAAGAAAGGAAAGGAAAATACATACAGTAAAAATAAGTATTGGGGGGAAATTTTCTCTCTCCTCCATGATCAAAATGAAAAGAAAAGCCAGGCAGGACGATGTACACTTGTAATCCCAGCACTTGGGAGACTGAGGCAAGAGGATCATTACAAGCTCAAGACCAGCCTGGGCTACAAAGACAAAAAAAAATAGTGCTGGATAATGGAAACATGGGATAAAAGATGTCTATCGAGTTTTATTTTTATAGCAGAAAATAATTGCAATGCCTTTCCTTTAGGCGTAACACAAGAGCAAAGCCAAGGGCCTCAATATGCTCCTACTGTAGCTGGCTTAGATTCATATTTTTTTTATAGTCTAAATTAGAAGGATGCTTCAAATAAGCAAAAGTAGAAGTGGAATCCTATCTTCATTGGAAATATATTAGAAGAAAACATGAAATTATTATTTTGATAATACTTTAATGTAGAAAGCTTTCTAAACAAGTTTCAGAGTCCAGGGACCATCAAGAGAAAAAAAATAATATATTTAGGGGGCATGGCCCTAGCTCAGGCCTTTAAGTGGCTGCTTCCACAAAGCTCTCAGCCTCAGGTTGCTGGAGTTCGAACCTCACAACTCTCCCGCTGGCCAAAAGTGCCTTGAAGCCATTCGAGGAACAACAACAAAAATAATAATAATAATAATAATATATTTATATGCACAAAAAGTTCCAAGGTTCTATATTACCATGAAATATTCTCTGAAAAAGTCAAAAGGCACCTAAGAAAGGCTGGGAAAAATATCTGTATCTATGGTAGATGGGCCACTTCTTTTGATATCCAAAGACTCTTAAAACCAATAGATATTGCCTACAGCCCTATAGAAAATGGCAAAGAATATGTATAAGCAAGTCATAGAAAAATAACACTGCTGCTGTCATATAAACAGAACTTGAAAAGATCTCCAATCTCCAACTTCACCCATAAGGAAAGAAATCCAGTCAAGACGGTGAGAATTCATTTTTCATTTATCAGGTGGCAAAGGCCCAAATGTTTTCTATGCATAGGGTTATCAGTGCCACCAGGAAATGGCCACCCCAAACTCAGTGGATGGAAATACAGGCTGGTGCAGCCACAATAGAAGGCCACCTGCCAGTAGGTACCCGATGTGTGATGCGTACAATGTACTTTAATTCCACACATCTACTGGGAATTTATTATATATTCATGCTCCGTAGAAAGACCTGCCTTATAAAGGAGCCTCCTGCACCTTACCTCAAGTCATATGCGAAGATAACTGGTGCAGAACAGTGAAAGACAGAGTATTAAGCCAGGCGCAGAGCGCTGAGCAAGGGCCCTGCATGCTGATCCGGGTGGCAGCTGCACAGCCAGCCTGGCTTAGGTGTCGGTCAGAAACAGGAAGGGAGTCGTCCCCCTTCAGGCCCTTCAATGTTAAGTTTCCGATGTGAGAATGTATTAATTTTTCAGTTGACAGAAATTGTTTCTGAAAAAATAAAACCAAAGTTCCTCACTACCATTATCACACCCCCCAAAAAAAAACCCTACTAGCCCTTTCCTCATCTAAGGGGAGGCCTCCCTATTAGAAATGTAACAGGTGGGGGAGGTATAGGTAGGCTAGGCACGGCCGTGGGAAGGCAGGGCTAGGCTAAAACCACAAAGGAGTGCAACTAGACCGAATGTTCCCCTAAATACAGAAAGACTGCTTGAAAACAGTCCAACACCCACCCAACTAGCTAAGCACCTAAGCAGTAGAACTCAGCCATCTCAACTCATACGGCCCCATACTGTAAATCCGTGCAGTGCCCTGCGTATGAATGTGCAGCAGAACTTCAGAAAGGGACCGCATTTGGAAGTGAGGTATTTTTAGGTGTAATCTGCTAAAGGCCACATGGGCCACAATGGCTTGGGGTGAATCCTATTCCAGCAACTACTGTCCTTACAGGAAGGTGCACAGAGACCCATGTGGGGTATGGAGTGATGCTCTTATAATTCCCAAAGTGAAACAGACTCTCCCTCAAAGCTCTCTGGAATCTCTGGAAGGAATCAATGTTGTTAGCTTCATGGGCTGTATAATCTGGATTTTTAACTACTCAGCTCTGCTGTGCAATGAAATGAGCTCCAGGCAATGAGTAAACAATCCCTGCAGATGTGTTCCAAAAGCACTTTACTTACTAAACCTGACAGGGGCAGGATTGGCCCTCACGTGCTTGATGACATGTGCTTTAGATGAAAAGCACCTGTCACTGGATTAGGATTCACCCTAAACCAATGTGGCCTTTAGCAGATTATTTAAAAATATTGTTTTCTTTGTTTGTTTGTTTGTTTTGTTTTGTGGGGGGGTTGTTTGTTTGTTTGTTTGTTTGCAGAACCGGGGATATGAACTCAGGCCCTTGCACTTGCCAGGAAAGCGCTTATTCCACTGAGCCATCTCCCCGGCCCCAAAAATATTGTTTAAAAATATCCTACCTTCATATTCAATCCCTTTCTGAAGTTTTAAGTAGACATGGGGAGGTGGGGGACTGCATGGATTTATAGGATGGGGCCATATGAACTTAGATGGCTGAGTTCTCTTCTTCAGGTGCTTTAGATAAAAAGAAAACCCATGCCAAAGAACAAGCGGTTCTGGGCAGCAAGAAGATAATTACAGCTGGGGTTAGACTCTCAGTCCAGTCCTGGCACCTAGCAATGGCATGCACCAAACTGTCCCTTCTCATTGACAGAGATCTTATTCCCCCATCTGAGAAATGATCCCAAGGACAACTTCCAGTATCCCTATTCTAAAGTTCTTTGACTTGTTGATATTTTTCCAGGGGTGCTAGGACTTGAGCCCAAGGCCTCACTCACGCTAGGCAAATGTTCTACCACTGAGCTCCCTTTTAGCTCCCTAAGTGTTTCTTTTCAATAACCCAATTTCCTAAATACAATCTGTAATCTCTGAGGAAGTGGTGATCTTGTGCTCTAATGAACTGTTAAATGTGTAAAACAAAATTGCTGCTAAAATCAAAATATCGGGGCTGGTGAGATGGCTCAGTGGTCTAAAGCACCTACTTAGAACAAGCTTAGCAAAGCACAGGGACCGCAGTTCAATCCCCCAGCACCACATGCCAGCCAGCCCCGCCCCCTGGTGGGCTGAGCTGGCCACACACACACACACACACACACACACACACACAAATAAATAATAAAAAATAAATAAATAAAAATAAAATCAAAATATCCCAGAACAGTTTTTAGTAATTAGATTAATTCACACAGCTTCATCTTAGATCTAGAGTATCTGCCCTTCTGTAGATGGACCTTGATCAAAGTGAGAACTGACCACGTGTTCATGTGGAGGCTGGAATCTGCCCACGACAAAGCTGAGCAGAAGTTCTTCCCAAGGGTGTGTTTCACTTGAATAAAAGACTTGATTCTTCAAAATAAGGCAAAGAAAAAGTCAAAAACGAAAAACAAACCTAAAACATACAACCAAAACAACTTCTGCATCATTGTGTTATTGTTTTCACCACTTCCTAAATCTTAAGCATTGATTATTGACTATGGACTCATCCTCCAGCTACTGGATGGTAGAAATGCACCGTGAGCAGACGGAGGGGACCGACCCCACCTGCGATCTCAACACTGACCTGCTTGCAACAATTCCTGATTCGCATGTACACACAGAGGGGTTTTCCACCCGGGCAAATGCTCACCCCACAGTACTGCTCTTCGTTGAAGATCTGGGGAGGCAGAGGGATCCCATTCTGAGGCTTTTTCTCTCCAGGAACGTTCTCTCTCATCCACCGTCGATTGTCTTCATCTCCAGCTATGTCGAGTTCCTTAAAGTCGATTTTGTTAGCTTCTAAAAAGCCCACCACTTCCTGCTGTTTCTTCCTAATCTGGTCAGGAGCAGAAAATAAATAAATAAATAAATAACCACAAAGATGTTTTGGATGATAAAAAAAGTATTTTTTCTGACACATAAATTAAATCCTGGTCTGGGGAGATAGCTCAGTAGAATAAGTGCCTGCCTGGCAAGCACAAGAACCCAAGCTCAATCCCCAGTACCGGAAAAAAAAAAAAAAAATCCTTTCTCTAGCTTTACCATGCAATGCAAGTAATTCTGTATTCAGTAAATAATAAAATAAATAATAAAATCACACTTCATTATAAGTGACACAGTTTAAATGACAGACTTTTAAATTCTAAGATTTTTAACATCTTTTTTTCTTCTTAGGGTTTCACTATGCAGTTCAGTCTGTACTTCAACACTTTATAGCCCAGGGTGACATCAAAGTCACAGTAATCCTCCTACCTCAGCCTCCCGAGGGCTGGAATCACAGGCGTGTGCCACCATACCCAGCCAGATTTTTAACGTTATCAATGTTTAAAGCATTGTATAATCAAACTAATTAAAATAGAGGTGCTTTCATTGTATTTTATTTGCAGTATTTAAAAGACATAATTACAAGCTTTCTTGACTAAAAAAAAAGTAAATAAGAATCAGTTAGCGGGGCTGGTGAGATGGCTCAGTGGTCTAAAGCACCTACTTAGAACAAGCTAAGCAAAGCACAGGGACCACGGTTCAATCCCCCAGCACCACATGCCAGCCAGCCCCGCCCCCTGGTGGGCTGAGCTGGCCACACACAT